TTGAGACTTCACGGTACGGTCTGACAGTGAACGATGATATCGCTCGGTGAAATTTGCCATTTACCGTATTTACGTGGAAAACGCACGTATCGCGCTGCCATGCCGTGAATTGAGAAACTAATCTCGAGGAACTCGGTCGGTAAGCACAAAAGTCGCGCAGATCGTGCGAAAGTATATTTAATAAAATATCGTAGAAATAAATAAAAAAAAAGATTTAAAGATCTTATCAGTCACAATGGCCCTGGTGCTAATAATATCCGAATCACATTAACATTGAATGTAGCACGTGATAAACGAGAGATTTTAGCGCTGTGACGAAAATTTTTAAATATTTTTCTAAATCAAATTGATTGCAAATCAATTAAGTCATTGATCTTCCATTTTCCTCTTTTTTTTTCTCTTTGAGAAGCAAAAGTCATAAGTACACAAAAGATTAAAGAACTGACTCGGAAATTTGAAGTAAAAGAAATGCCTGAAAAATCTATCATTTTATCTTTAACTGTGTTTATCCTAACATAAAATTAAAAAAAAAAACATTCCGTTATTTCTTTTTTTCACCTTGACGAATATTGACTGTCTTTCAAGCCCATATTGTTATTTAACATTCTGTAACTATAAGGTCGTTAGCAAATAAATCCGCGCAAATAACGTAGTGCACGCAGCGGAACGGAACCGAAGCGGAAGTGGCGAGACTATTCGCCGACCTGATAACATTCGCCTCTTTATTGGTGCGTGGTCGACCACGTGGAGGGAATATTCTGCCACGTTCAGTCGTGGTAATCGCAAAATGTCACCTGTGCATGCTAATTCTTTCTTGGCCGACAAGCCTTGATCGATTTTTCAAACGTGATCCCTTACACGGAATGCCAGAGTGAAAGAAGGCCCTCGATATCCGTGACGAAAGATCGAAATTTTTTACATTCCTTTTTGTATTTCGTATTCTTCTAAAAATGAACGGAACTGAATAGTTTTATCTCGCTCGACCGACACAACTGTACGATGAAGGCACCACGTGCGTGCCTCAGACGGACTTTAAATAACTGTTCCGCCCGTTGTACAATCGTAATTATCGAGAGAAAGTTAGCACCTTCCTTCCCATCTTCACGAAGAACAAAACCGTTTATCAGATTGACCAATTTTGTTGAAAAATTCAACCAACGAAAATATTATCTGAAGGAAAAAACTATTTTTTCTTAGGCAAATTTCTCCGGAAATACCAGAAAAATATGTAGGGTCGAAGATCCGCATCGTAACATGATGACTTTTTTGGAAACAAAAAAGAAGATTATTTTATCCGAGAAAATTCTATAGGAGGAAGAATAAAGAATCGGAAATTAATTTGAAAAAAACCGACTTTAGATTCAAGAAATTCTTTAGTTCAAGTGAACCTTTTTGAATAACAGATTTAAAAAAAATTTTCGAACAATAAAAATCGACATTTTATAGTTCTAGAAAAAAAAAACATATAGTGATTTCTTCAAATTGAAGAAAAGGACTTTCTCTAAGAAAAGTACTTCGACTCTGTAAATAAAAGAAAAATAAAAGAAATATCTCCGAGTTGAATAGTACAAAATGTCGCTTTTTTTCGAAAACAATGCTAAGAATATAAAGGAAAGACTGTCTAGTCCGAATCTTCAAATATTCCTCGCATAACACGCGTTATAAAGTTATAAACTGAACTTTTACGAACTCCTGACTGCTGAATTACCCGACGTGAATTACAGATCGTCTAAAACGAGCTTAACGCCCGACTCGCGTGGATACGCGACGAAATTAAAAAATTATCCAGTCGCGTGTAAAAGTGCGCTTTCTACCAGGAACTGTTTAGGAGAGCTGGTTTAGCGGAATGGCCGGTACACTTCGCTTCGCACACGTGCTAAATGTCACAATGTTAGAGCGTGCGACTTAACCCGCCGGCAAGTACGGCGGCTAGCACCGAACTATTTTATTACACACGGAACGGCGGTCGTACGTAATTCGCATTCGGATCAAAGGAGACATGTGTGAAAAGCGTTCGCCGAAGACACGGATTCGCGGAACCGAGGAGTCGCGCGAAGCGACAGTAAGTCAATTGGAAGATTTCAAATAAAATTAACGAGTTTTCGTTAAAAATAAATTTCTGTCTCTTCGTTATTTTTTTTTTCTTAACATTACTAATCGGAAACGCAGCTTGCAACTCTTCAAAGCGATAGCGACGGAAACGCGGGAGGCGCTATCGGCGGAAGATTTCGCAGAAGCAATCACAAAATCGGCAGAAGCCGAAGATAACGAACGGCACGTGATCTAGATAATCCGACGATCTATGCGAACGAACGTAACGTAACCGTAAAATGATCGAGTCTGCGTGGATGAGGGGGGAGGAGAGGGGTGGGGGGGAGAAGCGAGCGCGAATGAAGTACGGTTAGTTTCTCCCCGGATGTTCGGTGGCCTCTTTCTCGAGCGAGCGGCCTTGCCAGGAATGCGCATTTTCTGCCGGTTCTCCGTCTATCCCTCGGCTTCGATTCGATTCTATATGCGCCGATGGCCACCTTTCACCCGCTGTCGCGCGGCGCGGCGCGGCGCGCCGCGACGTCGTCCCGCGCGAGTGACCGGAGCCTCATTACCCGAAACCGAACGACTTCGAAGTCGGTCACTTTACGTCATCCGGAAATTCGAATAACGCGAAGCGCAAAAAAAAAAAAACCGTTAAGCAGCCTAAAGATAGCCACGTGCGGCTGCACCACCGGGCGCAGGTCTGCAGCGCTCGAGGAATGTGTCGAGGAATTATATACCCCACGAGGGCGAATTAATCTCGCTTCGCTGTCCCTCGAATGCGCGCGAATTTTACATCTTATTTTTAATTTGCGCGTTCGTCGATCCCCACGGAACATTAGACATCTCTCGGGCGCGCTCGGATTACGTGTCTCCTCGAAAGAAATGCAAGAATTACGTGTGACATGCGTTATAAGAATTGTAGGATGTCGCGTAAGTGTATTAGTCGCGATTATAACGAGGCTGCAGCACTCGCCCAGGGGCGAAAAATTTCATATACATGAAAATATATAAAAATACCATCGCATACACATTACGTATATAGATTTCCTTATAGTACTTTTCGTATATGTGGAGTTTTTCGAGAATAAGGCAGATTCGCAGATTGCCCAGTGTCACGACTATCGTTACAGGTCCTTTTTTGTCAAAACTGGATATATACCTGAGACATTCCACGAAAGAATGGAATCTTTGCCTGAGAAGGGCACATGAATGTATCGAAATGTTCGTCAGTCTTCGATGCTGCCCCTTCACACTCTGGTCGAACTTCCAAAGTCAATGATTTAAATTACGTTTACTTTCGCGTCTGCTCCCCATCTCCGTACGTCTCAAAAACATATAGCGTCTTACCTTAACGGTTTAGAACGGTTTCTAATTTACCGTTAAGTGCATCAACCGACAATGGACAGAATGTTTGGCATGCACATCGGAGATCTCGGAATTAATCGATCTGACCGCTTATTACTCATTAAATCGACCATCTTACACCAGCGAATAATCCGCAATCGCGAATCGGAAAGAGAAAGGGTACCCCGACAATATACGAAGCGAATGAGCTAGCTGATGTATTCAAGTTTGTTCGCGTTAAAAAAAAAAGAAAAAAAAAGACTATAACCATTCGAACAGTTCCATTTAATATATTTCTTCGCGATACGAACGGAATCTAAATCGACATGAATTTTAAACCATCGACACACAAAAAATACGTGTCGTATTTCATCGAGTGCAAATTGAAAATATTCGGGCACGTGACGCGAAAAATATTTGCAATAAACGAGATTGAATAACGTCAACCGAAAAAAGTGTTGCAATGGTTGAAAGGTTTAAAATTTCTCCACGTACGCGGCATACCGCACCGCGCATTTCATGATTATTCTTCCTTCTAATTAAAAAAGAGAAACTCGAGACTTTTATTTTTTTTTTGCTCGCTCATAGCCCCCGCATTCTCGATTAATTTCGGAGCTACAAAATTACAGCCGAAACTCGCCGCGCCGTACGTCGCGCGTACGGCTCGCTCGCGACTCCGGCTCGCCGCGCGTTACGCAATTTCATTCGTGTTGCCCTTTGCAGCGGCGGATTCCTTGCTCAACGAGACTCGAAGCGAGACCTTGACGAGCTCGGTAGACGGTTCGCACCGGACGTCTAACGGAGCGTCGTACATCCACCGCGTAAAGACAAACGTTCGCGCGATCGAGTTCTCGGAAAGTTTTTCGGAGCACGGCGACGCGATGTCCGAAGATCAGCTTCCTCTCCCCCCTCCCTTAGATTAAAGCGATGAGATTATCCTTATCGGCGAATAGAAAGGAGATAAGTATACGTCTCAAGTTGTACGTCGACAAAAAATAATCACGAGAAACGCTGTGTCGACTTGCGAGAAAATATTCCGAAACATTTCAAATATGTACGGAATGCTATTTCACTTTATCGGAAACACACAAATAACGTAGGGCCGCAGGGCCCTGTAGATTAGGCGAGCGAGGGAGGAGAGGAGAACCCGATAAACACGTTATCTATCCCGAACAAATAGAAGGAATTCTACATTAAGATCTGAAAATGTCGAAAAAAGCCCTGCACGTATGCCAGTCAAAAAAAACGGGATGACACGTGTTTACCAGCGAGGGTTTACTTGCCGTTCGGTAAACATCGGGCGGTCGGGTCAGCGACGACGTCGTCACGTGGCCGCGCGCGCGCGGCCAGACCGCCACTCGACGCGACATCTCCCGAAGGTTCCAGCAACACCGAGATTTGCGTAATATTTCCATCCGCTAATAATACATTGCGCGCCGATAACGACACGATAAAAGAGAGAGAGAGAGAGAGAGAGAGAGAAGAGTAAGCTGCGAGACACGTCGCGCGGAGATTTTGCGATCGCGCGGAACACGAGGCGAAATATGGAGGCGCGTGTAAAAGAAAAGAAAAAAAATATATATATGTGCACCGGCGCGTCGACGCGCGCATGATAAACTCACCTATCAACGTAGACATTTCCGCCGTGGGCCCGTCCGTCCCGTGCGCGGTGACCGTCGGCGACCGTTTACACACTTGGCGATAGGATTTACCCGTGGGCCTTCGTATCACGTCGGGCACATGTTTCCTCGTTTTTTCCTCCTCACCCCTCCCGCCCCCTTTTTTCGTCCTGATTGACCGTCTATCGGCGATATCGCCCGCCCCCTTCCTCGTCGGCGCACGGTGACACCACGGCGCGCGGTCGCTGCATGAGCAGCAATCTCTATATCGGGTGTGTCGGGGAAACGGGACGACGAGAGACCGGGACGAGACGGAGAGACGAAAATTGAGATTCGCGCGTTGATTCCCGACGGCCGGGGAGACGCGAGAAAGAACCGCTCTCCGGGGAAATTATATAACCTCCGCCGTGTAGAACGGAACGGATCTCTCTCCTCTTCTATCTCCGTCCCTCCTTCACCGAAGAACGCGAACGTTTTTGGGCGCGTTAGTAGCGAACCCGTGTGTGGAACCCGATCGCGGCGCGCGCGATACGCGTGCCGCTCGTTAACGGGAGGAAAGAGAAAAAAAAATTTGAAGAAAAAAGGGAAAAAAAGATTTAAAAAAAAGAGAGGAAAACAGGCGAGGATTCGAATCTTGCAATGCACGCTCGACGCGCTCTCGAATCGGTCTCGACGAAACGGGGCACTCACCACCGAAGAATAATCGTAACACGCGGTCGTGCGTCCGCGACCATATGCTCGTTTTCCCCGAGCCGAGGAGGAGGTTGCGAACGGCGGCGAACGAAACGGGCGAGAGAGCCGCGCGGCGCTGCGTAGCCCGCCGCGATTGCCACATGTACCAAGCCCCGAAGCGGCCGCGCTCGGCTGGCTCCGCCGTTGACTTCGTCGAACTCCGCGCGCGGCGACTTCGCGCGCCCCCGTCGTGTGACTTCGTGGGACGTCGTCGTCGTCGCGGGCTCTCCGTCTCTCTCGCGCGTGGCCTCCCCCCCTCTCTCTCTCTGTCGCCCTCTCCGTCTAACCTCTTACTCCTCCAGCCGTTCCTCTGTTCCTCCACGCACGCACGCATGCATGCATGCAACGGAAAAAGGCTTTCCACAAATCTCTTCCGACGTTTTTGCACACACGAAGAAACGGCCCGATAAAATATTTCCTTTTTTTTTTTAAGGATCCCCGGGTCTCCTCCCTGTCTCGCCCGCGCAATCACATCGAGTTGTGTTATTTAAGCCCGAGCCGAGAGATCGCGTGATATTTTTTTTCCCTTGCAACATACATCGAAATAAATGTCTCTCGTATGTCGTGACATAAATTTACCAAAATATTATCGAAGACCGATGTATAAGTGTTAATTTTACAATATGATAATTTTTAATACTAGTAGTTTAATAATTTTATCTTTTGCTTCGTAGATATGTAAATGTCAAAATCAGCTGTCATAAAAATCCTTTGCTGGAAATTAAAATTTGTACGTGTTGTCGAATATGGTCGAATATAAAGACGGGAAAAACGACGGGAAAATTTCTACTGTGTGTGAAAGTTCACTATATTAATTTATCGTATACGTATGTGTAATAATGCGAGAGGAAACTTCAGGACGATCTCTGACTTCTCAGTATGGCTACAGCGAGGAGGCATGAGTCCGAGAAGGGGACTCGCACTTATGAAATCCACTTCGGCAGACAATACATTATGAATACATTATGAACTTGATTTGAATTAAATATGCATTTATAATTGTATCACGCATTGTAAGTTAACAACGTATTGTACAATCTCTTCTAACCATTCTCGGGATGTAATAATGGACGCATCGCCATTAGAATTTTGAAATGTGTACATCATTTTATCGTGTCACGTGTATTACCGTATTATCGTATCTATATTATCGTATCTGAGAAATTATCGTAAATTATCATCTGCTTAATGTCTTGACGAGTCCCAAAGATAAGCCTAACGACAAGCGACGTCTCTATACACAGTGAACTTTCACACAGTGGAAATTTTCAGTCGTTTCCAGAATGTCTGAATGAATCAGAGGACTTGGAGCATTTGCGTGTAGAACGCCTAAATTAATTAAGTAATAATTAAGGCACTAATAATTTCGCTCTTTTGGGAGCGATTTTATACGGAAAGGACAAAATGTCGCGAAGAGAAGTTTACGTTACGTACGAGAATACATGTTTATTTACAAAATCCACAGCATTCTTTATTTCCGCGTGAAGCCCCGAAAGAAACAAAACAAAAAAAGAGGTCGACTTTTTTTTTATCGGTTTGTGCGATATTCGCCGACCGATCGTCCCGATATGTATGTATTTTCTTTTTTTTTTGCTTGCGCACATTCGACAGTCTTATTTTCCGAGACCGGGCAACGGATCGTCGATTACCGTCGGAGACGGCTACGTCGCGATTCGCACGCAGGAAGCTCCTCTCTGTGTCTCCCACCTCCGCTTTTAATAGGCGCGATTCAACAGTTTGCTACACGTCGTACCGGCCAATCGTGGTCACCACCACCTCGTCCTTCCTCCTCCACCTCCTCCTGCTCCTCGCCCGCTTCTCACCGCGCGCGCATGCTTATTATCCCGTCCTCTTACCGTTTATTTCGCGCGGTGAAAAGCCGCGTCCTTGTTTCGCCGGCGAGCTTGCGAAGGGAGAGCCGAGGGGAAAAGGAGGGGCGGGGGGGAGGAAACGCGGAAGGAAAAAGCAGGCTGCGGAGACGCTGTATATATACGCCGATATATACGTGTATATCGTCGATACGGGGAACGAACGAGCGTGCCGAGATAAGAAACGGGCCCCCGATCGTTCCGATAATACGTTTTACAACGGCGAGCGGGCGATTTGCGTTTAGCTCTAGAGAGCCGAGACGAAAGTGAAAGCACGCGTTCGTGCCGAATCTCCTATAGGTATCGAGTACTAACTATCCAACGCTCCCCGGGACTTGCGATCACCCGGGGAAGCGAGAAGAGATAGTCGTCGCGTAGAGCGAACCTCCCACGGTTTACCCCGGAATTATCTGGCGTTTACATTAACGTCAACCAAAAATACATATACGTACATCCCAATGTAACACGTAGAGAGAGAGAGAGAGAGAGAGAGAAACGTAGAGGCGTACATTTCCAGAGCATTCTTATACCGATAGCGGCGGCGTCGGTGGCAGGCGTTAGCTCGATTGATAATCGCCGCCTCGGGTAACTGCCGCCGCCGCTACTAGTATTGTCGCTGGTATTACTACTGCTATTGTTAACCGCGAGAAACCGCTCTAACGAGATTACGGAAGCCGGGAAAAGAGCGCCCCGTCGTCGTCGTTCCACTTGCACGGCCGAGTTGTCGAACTTGGCGCAGCCCGACGTCGCGGGGAAACGGCAGGGGTTTTGCTTTCACGTGGACTGACTCGCGCACCTGTACGCCGCGTGTCGCGAGTACACGTATCTCCATCTTTCTCTCTCTCTCTCGTTCTCGAGGAATCTCGAAGATTCGAGCTTCAGCGGCTCGAAAGGAGAGGAGAAAAATGCCCGAGGACGGATGTTAACTTTACAGGTACAAGACGAATGACGCGAGAGACAGAAATTAAGGCCGCCGCGCGGATCTAGAAGACGTTTGCCGATCAGACGCAGATTTGTTGTATTTGTCTGACGCAATACCGTAAGGAAAGATCGAGACCAGCTAATCCGCGAATCTAACTGCAATGTCTGGTAATCCCGGACTCGCCGGGAGGAGGAGGAGGAGGAGGAGGAGGGGAGGAGCAGAAAGAGGATGACTTTGCTTTCCTCGAATCGCACGTTCGTCCTACAAGGATCCCATATTTCCCATGTTGGCATACATACGGCGCGCTCCGATTATCCAGCGCGTCTCGCCGCGAGGAGAAAGGGAGACCCATCACCATGCTCGCCATGCCGATTTCGCGGATTTTGAAACTCTCGTCGGAATAAACGAAGAACAGATCCTATTTCCGGTCCCTTTCACCCCCCTCCCCCACCCTCCGTCGTTTGAACTGGACAAACGGACGAGCTTCCTTCGTATTCTCGAATGAATGACGCGAGGATGCGAGGTGGATCGGCGGCGGGAGTCGTTGGTAAAAAGAGAAAACGGCACGCGGCGAAGGACGGCCGTCGGTCCTCTTTTCTCGCGGCGTACGTGCCACATGCCGCGTGGTCGTCCTAACCTCAAATAACACTTCCTCCTCCTTCCCCTCCTGCCCCGTGGAGTCGCATGCGCGACGAACGGAGGCCGTCGAGACGACACTCTCGGCGAGGATTGCTAGGCATCACGAGTAGAACATCCTCGTGCGCGTTGTCGATTAAATATCGCGCGGACGTGTCCCCACGGACGTTGCGTACCCGCGTCGCCACGCGCTCGACGGAGACGAGGATACGATCGCTCGACAAAACGCGTTTAGATAGAGAATCGACATGGTCCTTGCGAGTCACACCCGGAGAAAGAGAGATAGGTATTTATGCTCGAGGTGGGACTTACCGGCATTCAGGAAACGGTTCGTGGTGACGACAGCGCTGTAGCTCTGCGGAGCGTGCACGACGGGCTGGTTGAGGATGAGCTGGTGCTGATGCTGCGGCGGGGCGTGATGGGGCTGCTGCTGCTGCTGCTGCGGCTGGTGATGTTGCTGCGGCTGCTGCTGGTGATGTTGCGGCGGCGGCTGCTGCTGCTGCTGTTGCTGGTGGTGGTGCTGCTGCGGGTGGTGGTGCGGGTGGGACAGGTGGTGGTGCTTCCCCTTCGTCGGCATGCTCATCGCAGGTGTGGGCCTCCCTCGTGCGAACTGTCCTTAAAAGTCTGCGACCTCACGCGATTCCCAATCATAGGTAACGTTTATTTGTCTCGCGATCTCGCGCGGAGGCGGAGGGAGGGGGCTTCCACGACGACGCGCGCGCTTGCTTATTGCGATGCCTCCTCGCACGATGCCAGGATCCTACGCTATCCTCCCGGAAGAGAGAGAAAGAGAGAGAGAGATACGTGTCCAGATACGTGTCCCGCGACCACGCGGGACCGAATCACGCGGCCGAATCGTGCGCCGCGATCGGCAGCGATCCGCGGAAACCACCGATCGGAGCGGGGGAGGGGGCGTTGGACACGTTTACGAGTGCGAGGCGAGACACAAATGCGCGATGCGCGCGCGCGCGCGAGACCGCGACTTCCCTCGCTCGCGGTTCCTTCGCTCGATGAACACGATGATCCTCGGCCGCGTGCTGCACTAGTGAAGCTCGGAGACCGTACGCGAGCCGCGTTGCGGATTCTTCTACGTGTTCCCGTGGCACAACTCCCTCGATCGTCCGTATATCGGGCGTCCGCGCCACGTTCCGCCGCCGCCGCGCGACGACGACGACGACGACGACGACAACGACGACGACGGTCGTTCGTTTCTCGCGGTAATCCCGCGACGTGCCCCCGACCACCGTCCGCACACCAGTGAGAGAGGAACGTCCCGCTTGCGCGCGATCTCTCTTCGCATAATCACCGTTCGCCGGCGAGCCGAACGCGAGAGGGACGGAACGCGCGAACGACGCGGGTGATACACACACGCGCGACGCACAAACACTTGTCCTGTATACCCGACCACGCCGCCACGAACCTCGAAAGTGGAATGAAATAACCACGCGCACTCGATCGCTCACTAGCTGCTACTGGTGCCACTGGTGGTGCACACGTCCGATCCGCGACGACCGACGTTCCGTAATAGACGTAGAGGAGTGACCAGTGTGACCACACGCTGCCAGCGCGCTCGGCGTTTTCGCCCTAGAGAAATCGATGCCGCTCTCCTAGGGAATTCGCAAGTCCGATTTTGTCCAGTTTATCGGGCGATCGCGCGCGAACGAACGTAATTGGTTGGACTCGCGCGTAAGAACCAATCACGTTCGATCTTCCGGCGAGCAGGATATCTAAAAATTGTCCGGCACGAATGCGTTCGTTAAATCAATATCACATGCTGTACTCAGTATGTTTTACGTCATTTTACGACGTTTTCAAGCGTGTGCCGATCAGCTGTAGAGAAGAAAAAAGTTTACGGGACTCGAAAATCTATTTCTTCAACTGCAATATTACGAGCCAGACAATCTTTATTCGCACATACATATATCTTGGTCTTGTGTATACTAATTTTCTTAAAGATAATAAACCCAACACTTAGGTCGTAAAAAACTGATATCGTAGAAAGATGCTTACGGCATCTTCTGTGAAAGTTGTTTCCTACGCTGATTTGAATGCACGCAACGAACAGATCTGACAATTAATCGGTGCAACTTCTGATTGGTTATTAATATATTCCGCTTTTCCGCTCCTAAATGTGAATTCTTTCTCATACAATCTCTATATTTTGCGGTATTGCAAAGTACTCTGAATATATGGTGAATAAAAAAATTGCCTTTTTTTAAAAAACAAACTATTTTAAGGCATACATCTCGTCTGACAAGCGTGGGATTGCGTTTTACATTTCGGCACTTTTAACATAACCTATAACGTTTCCTTCCTACGCATTACACATATACTCCTTTTCTTCTACATTTTCGTCGTTCGACGCGAAAATGGGTTCTCACGGAAAAGCAGAGACCGACAGACTAAAAAAGAATTTGGAAGAACAATTGGATCGGCTTGTGCAACAGTTGGAAGATCTGGAAGATTGCAGGTGTCGTTTCATTCTGCCTGATTCATCCCAGAAATTTGTTTATATATATATAAATTTTTTTTCTTTGTTGTGTACACCAATTGTTTCGTTAACAGAGTTACTCTGGACGAGACGGATTATCAGGAATGTAAGGAAGACACTATGGAGCAGCTACGCGAATTCAACGAGAGCCTGCAAAGAATGATATCTGGGAATATGACTTTAGTCGATGAACTTGGAGCAATGCAATTGGTATGTTTTTTGTTCTTAACAAATTATAGTATTGCAACGCGCTTCGAGTATGTGTTTTCACCTGAATCGCTTGTAAATTCTTAACAGGCAACTCAAGCGGCGATCAGCGCAGCCTTTCAGACGCCAGCCGTGATAAGAATGTTTGGCAAGCGGGAGCCGGCCGGACTCAAGGAACGTCTCTCGCAGATAGATCGAGACGTGAAACTGGGAAAACTGAACAAAGAAGCCGCCGACCGTCAACGGGGCGAGATATTGAGCGCTCTGCGGCAACTCGGTGAAAAGTTGGAGCCGTCCGAGTTACAGCTGTTGGAGCGATTATCTTTAAATGACATAGACACCACGAGATATGTGCAAATTACTGAAACAGCGGGGAAAGGTAAAATGGCTCTAGATGTAGTCGGCAAGGAAGTTAAAGCTACGCAAGATACTTGAATTAATCGTTAATAATCGTTGTGTCATATTTTTATTTATTTATTACTATATTTTTCAAGTTTTGTTAAGGAGCTTTCTTATCAAACAACTTATATTCATACAAGTGTAGTGTAGATGCTAGATTTTTACGTTTTTCAATTTTTACAATAAAAAAAATTTTCGACGAGGTTTCAATACCGTTTTTTTTTTTTTAACTAAATGCTTGCTTCGCTACAAAATATAATGTATGTAGCGAACTGTGCAATCGAATTGTCTATGAATTTCGCTATAATGCGGCAGTAATGCAATATTACGATTGTTACCTGATGATGAAGGTAATCGCGCGCGTTTTTTTATTATAGAAATTTTAAATATAAATAAGTAATCAAATATATAAGAAATCTATATGTAACTTTTATGCAACTTTTAATATATAAATATTGAATTATTTTTCGTTATTTAAACATTTAATGTGACCCAGCACAGTAGCTACATCAAAATTAGATTGTATAGTGCGCTTTAGATACATTTATGTAAAGGCATCTTGTATATTGTTTACAACATTGTTATGTGAATCGTGGAATAAATATATTGATGTTTCCGTGTATGACTTACCGTTTCCATTGAAAGAAATTATATCTTAGTCCGATAATTGAGAATTATAAAAAGATAATAGCCCAAGATAAACTTATGATTGATAATTAATGAGCATTTGTTCACGCGTTATTATTGTGGGATGATGCATGGTAATTGATCCCGAATTCGATTTTTCACCACACATATCCTCGTCTTCACGAGGTTTATTAGAAAAACCAAAAGGTTGTAAAAATGAAGATGGACACGGTTGGTTTTGGGAACTCATATTTCAATAAGAACTTGATAACATGATCATGCTGTTCCGGAAAAATATGTATATCGAAGTGCCGCGAACAATTTCGCTAAAGATCGCGAGATTGCATTCGTATAAAATCTGTTATTAATATATCGTATATGGAACAAAAAGAAACTTATCTAGAAAAATAATAGATCAAAAAAAAAATTAACAAATCTATACCTTTTACGAATTGTTTTCTCGCATACGGTCTCACAATCCTTTCGTTTCAGTAGTTCTCTATTGCGTAAATGTATAAATATCAATAAGTATAAAACTATGATTATTTAAAACTATCTTGTTATGTTGCTTGATACAAGTGAAAATAGTCTTTTCGGATCAAGACCTGCGGTGTACATGTAACAATCCTTCCTAGAAAGGAAGTTTACGAAGGCATATCGAATTGGTGTCAAGAATATATTAATGTGCTTCTATTGCTATTTCTCTTGATATGTGTACATATATGCATACATACAGCCTGTTCGAAACACTTTTATTTTCTTCAGACTCCTCGATTACGTCGAATAATTTATTTTTACTTATCTCGGAGAGACATTACACAAATTTTTTAAAATTTTCAAGTTTTTGCTTCTAACAATTGTCGGTTTCGAAAAATAATAAAATTAGACAGCATCCTGTTCAATTTCATTTCTTATCGCAGTATTTCGCTGGGATACTTTTGTATACATGCATATACATACACATAACGCACACATACATTCATACATATATACAATAATAGGGGTGGAAAAAAGCGTCCAGAGAGACAGACAAGTAGAAAGAGGTAAATTCTTTCATAGACTGGAAGATGCTTGCACCTTCATGTATTATATATTATATATTTTTATATTTTTTTTAATCTGAACGCTTTCTTATGTATCATTGTACTCATGATTAACGCTTACGCCTGCATACTCTTTTATGTTCACGTTGCCAGTGAATCTGTTGGCAGTCCGTGCTGCAATATGCGGTATTCCAACAACAATGATATATCGCTTCAGCTTCGCAATTATAACACTGTAAATAAACGATAGACATTTAAAAATGATATGCATATTTCAAAGGAGAGATCTAAAAAAAAAAAACTAAAGAGAATTACCCATTGTTTCTTTTTTATGTCAGAGACGATCTGTTGATGTCTGTCGGTTAATTGCCGCAATTCTTTGGCATGCTCCGCTTGCAGTCTTTCCATTTCTCGGCACTTCTCGAGCTCCAGTTCACGGCGCAATTTTTCCAGCGCCGTTGTCGTAGGTTGTTCCGAAGTTCGGCGTTCCCTTTTGATCTGCAAACGTACAGAAAAGTGTCGAAAAGTAATCGGACGATATAGCCGCGCGAATACGTGACCGAGGGGCTTCAAGGTTTACCTTGGCGGGAAGCCCATCCGTTTGAATTTGTTCTGTTTGCACGAGAACGCACTTCGATCTCGGTTCCTGACAACTGGATGTAACCATGTCTTCCTGGGAGCCTTCCTTCTTCAGGCCTTGCGGACACGTGCTCGTTATGCTTTCTCCCGCGGGCTCGTCTTCCGCCACTGGTAAACGAGGCACCTGCCTCTCCTCGTTCTCGGCGTTAGTAGCCTCCGTAGCGTCCTCTTTATTATCCGTCTCGTCGTTTGCGTTTTGCGTCTCGGTATTGCCCTCCGAACTCAAGCGTTCGACTCTCACTCTCAAATCTTTCAGTTGCTTTGGCAAATTGGAACCGTGCGACGACGTACTCCTCGACGAACTCGACGATTCCAACTTTCGCATTTTCGCAGGCGTACAATCCTCCGTCGCATTCGCGTTATCTTCCTTATTCTTTCCCAACTTGTGCAAGAAGTGCTGATGTTGCTTCAGCTCTTCGAAAGCCCTGTTCCACGCCGTTGATTTTTTTATCTACGAAAGACAACGTTTTTAATTATGTACGAAAAAATAGATATTCTTGTATCAATTATGAGATAGAATGCCTTGAAAAGTAATTATACATTTTCGGTTTCTTTCGCCTTTGTTTCTCTTTTCTTTTTCTTTTTTTTTCAAAAGTGTAACAGTTTTTAAATTGATTTCTTATGTGAATTTTTTTTTCTATCGCAACTGAGATGCAAGAGCATCGTTGTGTATATTTGCAATAAATTCAATCTTAGTGCTTCAATATCGAATAGTATTTGACAGATGTAGATTAAAATTTTTTACCTGCAAACTTTGTAACGTGGAAGAGATCGGCCGAATGAAAACTTTCTCGATATTAGCCCTCATGTGATGACCTCCGAAAAAGCGCACGTCGTATACATTGCCGTTAACTTGCATGACCTTCGCCGGCCAATACGGATATCCCTTTTGCTTCGCGTAGACTAATTGATGAGGCGGATTGCACGGTATGCAGAACCACATCTTCTCAGACTTTTCGTTCGATATACGATAACAGTCCGCGCAACGACGTATTTCTTGAAGGTCGTAACAACAGTCCTGATACATCGTGCGCCCCATATCCGCTATCACGCTATTAACTGGTAACAAAATAACGGGATAACGAGATGCTTAGAGACGAAGATGCAAATCGAAGATTACAAATCTCTTACCTCCGTGATATATTATGATGTTGTGCAGAATATTGTGCGCATCAGCCTCAAATTCGGCGAGATTGTTGTACTCATTGTTGTTCGTTTTCGCGTCCATTATCGCCAAATCCATGTGACGCTTTATGAGAATCCCCGGCCGCCATGCATCCTCACCCTCGCTCACCCAGGTCGGTCCGGAGAGGCCGTTGGGTGGCGTAACGACCGGATCGTTGTTGAAGACGATGGTACGATTTGTAATTTCCGGTGGTAATTTCGCTTTCAGATGGCCGCACGTGAAACTAAGAATGTGGTTGAGGTCATCCTTGCTGGGATACACGTCGCTGTTTATCTTCTGTAATAGAATTTCGTGTCGTTTTAATAGAGATTTCGTCGGCACGTGACATGCTACATCGAGTGAGCCTCGAGATTATACTTGCCTCGCAGAAGTTACAAATCTTCAGCTTCGCGTTGCTGGGCACGTGGCATTCCGCGTGAAAAACCCTCCAGCACTGCTCGCAGCACTCGACCGAGCCTGCCAGCTGGCACTTGCAACAATACCAATCGTGGCTGTCGTTCTGCGCGTCTGTCGACGGCAGTCTGTAGCTCTCCTGCTCGACGCCGCTCTTCGTGGGCACCTTCTTCAGCAGGACGAGCCCGTCCTCGACCGACTTGTTGAGCTCCTCCTGACCCTCCTGCTCTGTAAAGCCGTAAACTCGAGCCATGTGCCGTACCATACGGTCATTACTAGGTAAGCTCCTTTGATGTACCGTGATTTTGATCGTGTCCCAAATCCGCTGGATCATCGACGGATCGCTTCTCCGGCGTGTCGACATGTCGATAGCGAGCTGTAAAACGAGAAAATTTGTGCGATATTCCATTCGCATATACAGTAAAAATACAGATAATGGAGCCATCGGCAGCGTTTTAAACTGACAAGTATTTTGTACCCACATGTGCTATCGGTGCAGTACAGTTAAATCTAAACTACGTTAGGCACGCTAACTGGGTACCCACATGTACACGAAATGCAGTACCCATATGCTAGCAGCAAGTGCTTCACTCAGTCGGCTTCTACCGATCTCAAGGTGTGGCCGTTTTAAGGAATAATCGGCGTAAATAATTACGATCGAGCGGACGAATATATTCTGAATCGAGAAGGATATCTGCCGTCGCACCATGCATTCCGCGGTGCTAGACGCAACAGGCTACACGCTGCTGCTGTCCAGCGTAATCGCGCTCGCGGTTCTACTGTGGAAAGGGTGCAGGCGCACGAGGAAATCGCCGTTTTACGTTCTCTCGGCATCGGACGTCTTTAGTGCCGCGTTGACGGCTGTTATATTGCTCGTGAATCATATCGAAGCCGGGATAAGATTGAGTTACAACTGGCAGAATAGCACCGACGGCGATACGTCGAGCCGCACGTGGACGAACGGAGATAACTATCGATTTTCGTTCCTGAAGACCGATCTACGCGGGGCGGTCGACAACGGCGGGGAGGTCGAGCTCAACGTGACTTTAACGTGCGGCATGAAGGACATACTCATGCAATACGGGATGTTACTCGCCGCGCTGACGAACGCGTTCGTATCTTTACTGACAATGTCTGTGCAATGCAATTTCGATGCGGCATGCGTGAGGCGGAGATGCGCTAACGTAATGAAGTCACTGAAGAACGCGCAATCCGGAGGACCGAAGGATGCCGAAGTCAAACGACGTGAGAGTGAGATATCGGAGAACGAGCAGGAGTCGCAACAAGATATTAACACGAAGACCAGGAGCAACATCGTACAGGGACTTGTGAAGATCGCGAAATTTCGAACGGCGAAAGAGGACGCCAAAGGGCCGACGAGTTTCCTCGTCACCAGCCACTGGCTCGTGCCGTTTCTCGTTGTAGGAATCCTATATTTCGCCGAATACAATGATATGAGTAACGTGAGAAATACGGAGGATATCGAATGCGTGCTCGGAAGTAATTTTCCGATTAATGACCTCGATACACTTTCGGAGGCTGACAATCCGAATGTTACTGGCTCCGTTCCGCCGGAGCGTAATCATTTGCTCAATGAGTCGTTCGATTCGATCAAGACGAGCAGCGTGGAAATAGACGAAGTGGTGTCTAAAGTTCAGGGTATCGTCAGAACCGAGTTGAATTATGCGCGCAATTTGACACACGCAGAAGACACGGGAATCACGAGTTTCCCTGATACTTCCGGACCGCAAAATCTGACGCGGTACATTCTAGAAAATAATGTAATGAAGTACATCAAGAACATTACAAATAACAGCGTTCCCGGACTAAATAACGCGCTAACACAACGGAATATAAGTGTCCATAATTCGTTCATAAATAATATGCATCTGAAGCAAGATTCGGAAGTCCCGTTATTCTACGATTTGTCGAAGAGTGCGGAGAAATTAGACGCGACCACATCTGGGAGCCGCGTGTCGGACGACAGTTATCCAGAGGATGCGCAGACGTATCTCGCAAGTACAGAGGGAAGTACAACTCGGAGGACCGCCGTTACTTCCCCCGCGCAAAATGCAACGTCCAACAGTCAAATATATAGCGAGATAAGGAGACGCATTCAAGCTGCCGGCGTGCATTCGGCGGCGAAAAATCATTACAGCCGCCCAACGAGTCGACCCAGGGACGTGGAACCTGAGATTAGCAGTGTGAAGAATCACATTGCGAAGAGGAAGCCGAATTCGATCGAGGATCTGCTTTCCAACGACGACCGCCACGCGAGTGCTGGGCAGTCGAGGCAGGGCGGTTCGCTGCACATGGCCAACGAGTGCCTCGTCTCAACCAGGTTCCTGAAGCTGCAGCTGTTCGTGCTGTCCTTCGCGATATACTTCCTGCCGATTCTCCTCTCCTGCATCCTGCAAATGCGAGGAAGGCACATGTGTAAGAATGCGCTCGCGACATTAAGGGCAAAGGCCAATCTTACTTCGGACGGCAGGAAGACTCGTCGTCGGGAGGATTCGTCGGTGGAGGGCACGCCGCAGAGATCCAGGAACGATCACGGTTGGACGGATGTGGATGCGGTGAGGAGGGACCGTGAGAGTGGCGGGGAAAATGAGAGCGCGGTCTCGGAGGTAGAGTGCACGGTAAGAATCCTCGACACCATCAGGCTGTCGTTGATACTGTGCGTCGTTCTCTGGACACCGGTGTTCCTGGGGACTCTGCTGAAAGTGTACTCGTGCACCCGCGCGCCTCAGTGGTTCAACGACGTCACGTTTTTGAGCGCTATTTCCTTCGGTGTCGTAAGAAATGCCCTGAATATGAATATAATCCGAATTCAAGAAGCCTGCGGCGACGCCAGCACGAAGGAAAACAGAATACATCCGGTCGAATGAGCTTAAAATATACATATAAGTTACATCATTCAAATATATTCGAATATTTAATAAAATTAGTATAACGATTTTATAAATGTAAATATATATATACATATATATTTACATTTGGCAGTCGTTTTTTAGTTTACACGGCTGGATGGCAGAGAAAAGAGATCTTGCCTTGTATTATATAAGAAAAAAAATACCTCTACACATAAAAGCATTAGAATCCGATTGTGGCTTAATTCTAATCACCATTGTACCGTTACGGCGAAAATACTGCTCGTGCCGCACGGAACGAATGCGCATAATTAAGGCAGTCGCATTTTACTTTACGGAAGCGGGTTTTTTTTTTCCCAGCATGAATATTTCATGCCTATTTACTGGTAAATACTGTACCATGACGCGGGCGTGCGCCCATATGCGAAAAATTGAATGGATCCGTGAGGGTACGCGTGTATAGATATATATATACAGAGACGTTCCGCTTACTGTGCACTTATCACTTTATCGCGAGCGAAGTTTCGCCGTCGCTATGCGGCGGCCGTGGACGTGTCGTCGGCGAAGGAGTTATATCCTTTCGCAGGGCTCTCTAAATTGGCTCCCGCGGCGCCGTCACGCAGGAGGAGGCGGGTACCATCGATCACGCGAACGTTCTCCACCGCCGACCCTCGCCGTCGCCGCCGTCGTCGTCGTCGCCGCTCGCGGTAGCGGCCAGTAACGGGTGATGCAGGGCAGCAATTAACATCGGAGTCCCAGGTATACCGTGGTGGCCCACCACCACTGTGCAGTACACTGTGCGTACGTCACGAGCGCCCGCACTTAACCTCTCCTCGCCAGGCGCGCTTAACAATGCGCGCGCAACTTACATAATTGCATATCGACAAGTTGTTTTATACCCGTATCGCACGGTAAAAACGGCGACAAGCGCGCGCGCGCGCGCGGGTCCCTGATTTCGAGTTACCTCAGGTCACGCCGATCTCCTTAATTTATTAACAGAGATTCTCGATCATCGATAAGCTCGAAAATTCAAAACAAATCTAATTCGCTTAAAATTTAAATTCAAATATTAAATTCAAACTTTATTATATTGAATATTAAATTCTAAAATATTAAATTCTCCATTATTTAAATTATTAAATTCAAACTTTATTATATTGAATTCTCTATTATTTAAATATTAAATTCAAACTCTATTATATTAAATACTGAGCGAAGATTTGTTTTGGACCTTTAAATATTTATTGGTTTAATAAAAATTTGGTAAAATTTACTTGAAACTTGATACTGACTATATCTTAAATGCTGCCGGCGCATTTTAAACGTCAGGATTTATTGTCTAATGAAGTTATAGATTTTATTTTAAAAATATAGTTACAACTTTATACTCATGTTACTCACATGCCTGTATACGTATAATATTCCTGTAATCAGCAATATTTCTTTTAATTAGAGTAAAGCGAAATATGAAATTTCTTATTGGTTAGCACTGCTATCTCTAAATCGCAATAATTTGATGTGTTGTGCGTTATGGAGTTAATTAAATAAACATTCTCGTATCACATCGTGATGTATCACAAAATAAACGATCTCGAGAGAAAATAGTTCATTATATTTAACGATCTTATCCTGTGGTCCAAAAAACGCAAGATACGGACAAGTCGAGTTGTATACAGAAGTACCATCACAGGGAGTATACAAGTCAGCTGTGCGTGACTGTCTGGCTCTAATGTCTGTCTGTCTAGATCTAACAATGGAATCGTTCTAACGAAAGTATATGAGCTCCTTCAAGCTGCGCTGCAGCTCGATGCCGTCCGCCCACGGCACGATCTTCGCCTGGATCGACGTGGAGCTGGGCGATCCGTCGAGCCGCTCGATTAGCCGGTAACCCTTGCGCGGACACGCCAGATCGGTCTTCGAGAGGCGCAAAATCGGGCAGAGGTCGTTGCTCCCGTCGCCGACGTAGACGATCCTCGCGTAGGTCCTGCCCTGCTCGCGCTTGTCCCGAACGTAGTCCGTGAGGATCTGCCCCTTGCAGAGATTGACAGGGCTCAGCCGGCACGCGGTCTGCGCGTGATACCCGTCCACCCTGAGCCTGCCGTGGTCGTCGTACCGGGCCGGATTCGTGAAGACGCGCGACACGACGCGCTCGAGGCCCCTGCTGCGCAGCCAGGTGTCTATGAACACGCTGTTGGAGTCGCTGATGACGACGATCTCGTGGCCGCTGGCCTGCAGGAGGACGAGGAGCTCCTGCATCCCCGCGACCGCGGGTATCCCGACGACGGTCTCCTCGATCTGGCCCGGGCCCACGGCGACCTCCTGCAGCAGCTCGAAGATCCTGCCCATGTACGCGATCCAGCTCGTCCTCCGCAGCTTCTCCACGTCCTTGGATATCGCCCTCCCCGCGACTCCGAGCAACTCCTGCACCACCAGGTCGGTGTTGTCGTCGCAGATGGTGTGATCGAAATCGAACGCCACGAGCACGTTGTGATCCATCTCTGTTAATTAATTAAAACACAATCGTCGCCGTTATTATACAGCCGCCGAGGGAGATCTGAAAATTCGATATGGCACGATTTCAATTGAGTTAATGTATCCTTAATGGCCAGAGGCTGCACTCAACAAAATTAGCCACGAACGCAGACTGGTTTACTTGTGCTTTACTTTTTTTTACCGGGAAAAAAATTGAAATTACCAGGAAGAAATTGACTAACAGCTGACTGAACTCACTTTGACGTCGAAAAGGGTCGATCGATTGCGAAGAACCGACTGGGTAAAATATGTCAAAACTTAATCGCTCGGGGATATACTCTCGCTAAGACTGGCCCAGAATTGCATAAACAACGGGAGCGTTTAACATTTTTGTTTTTACGATCCCGAAATAATTGTTGTGATCGCGTTAGCGAGCTGCCTCTCTTGGCCGTGGATCAACGTCGAAGCGGTGCGGGCATCGCGCCACCGGTCGCGTCGCATTCTAACCGCTTCTAGAGTGTTCCAAGAAAAGCTGTCTGCGCTTCTGCACGAAATCGCGCGCGCGGGTGTTTCTTGGCAGAAGGGACGCCTTCGAAGGAGAGATATCGAGGCGCCAGCGCGGCGGAAAAAAAAAATCAACAATAATCGGGGTCACCCTTCGTTCCCCTCGGTGTTCCACTCGGAGTATACTCGAGACACTCTCGTAAACAAACGCGAGTCGACGACGTTCGCGTAAACATACGCACGGCGCACGCGTGACAGCCGGGTGTTTGCCGCCAATCTCCCCGGCATTTTTCAGAGTTCGACAGAGTGTGGTGGAGAGAACGAGGTATCAATTGGTATTTGTATCCGTCCGCGATCGCGGACGTAGAATAGAGGAGAGAGAAACGTAAGCGTAAGTCTTGTTTCGCGCGAATGCGGTTACGTGCCGCACGCTTTTCTTCTCCGCCTTACCTCGCGTCGCTCGTTTCGTTCTCCCGGCCGTCAGCCTTCCCTTCGACGCCTCTCGTTCCCTTTCACTTTCGTTGACGCTTTCGCGAGAATCGGACGCAGGGAGCGTTTCCTACAGCTTCGTGCCCTCCCGATCGTCCCGCAGCGATGTCGCAGTACAGGGGTCCGAGGCCCGGTGGCATGTCCGACGAGGAAGACGAGTACGGCGAGGACGACGACGTCTTCTTCCCCGTCGAGGAGGTACGGCAGAGTACATAGTACACACGTGCACGTGTTAAATTTTGCTCGACTACGAATTTTTTTTTCTCACTTCGTTGACAGAAGGAGTCCGTCGTCAAAGAGCGCACTCCGTGGAAGGAGGAGGGGAAGAAGGAGACGAGAGCGGACGATCTCGAGGTGGCGACGTACAACGACAACGACGAGCGTACGCAACGCGACTACGAGGATCGCGTTGTGAAGGCATGCACAATGGGACATTTGGCAGTGGTACAGGAATATGTTGAACGTAAATATTATTACATATTTTTATGTTAATCAGGGATTCTCGATTCCTTCTCTCTCTTCCTTCTGTATTATATATTACTGAATAAGGATTGTTTTTTGTGTGGTTTTTTTTTTTTTTTACAGAACATGACGTCAATAACTTTCTGTACACCGGATGGACCGTATTGTTATACGCGACTTCGTCGTTGGAACTGGAAATAGTGGAGTATCTTTTAACACACGGTGCAAATCCGAATAAGCATAAAGGTACTTTAATGCTACTCTACTCATCATTTTAAGTTCCATACAAGATTTCTGTAATCGCCAAATCCCACAGATGGATTTACACCTCTCATGGCGCTGTGCAATTCCACAAAGGCAACGACGGAAAAATCTCTGAAATGTCTTGAACTGTTAGTGAAAGCAAATGCCGATGCAAATGCTATAAATAAGCGAAGGTAAGATTGATGCTGCACAAATAAGAGAAATATAGGAATCAATATCTCTCGGATGTTAAAATCACTGTCACTGACTTGGACAAGCGCTAACGATCACAATTTTTTTTACAGGGAAACGGCTCTAATGTACGCCTGTATGTCGCAGAGTGCGGAATTTGTCTCCGAGCTTATAAAATACGTGCATGACGTTAATGCTTGCGACAGCGATGGGAAAACTGTAAGTTTTCAGTTGTTAAATATCGAAGTTTTTCCCGCATATAAATTCTCGGTCTCCGATTACAGGCATTGAGCTACGCCGCTGCAGCTAATCAGCCCGATATCGTCAAGATCCTCTTGTCGCATAACGCGCATACGTCACTGACAGACAAGGACGGTTCATCCGCCAAGGACATCGCGGATGCAAAAGGATTCACAGAGGTAACTATTGTTATTCTTGCCTCGCGTCGTTGAATCTTTTTTTTTTTACTTCAATTCTAAACTCTCCTCTCTCACTCTACAGATATCCGCTCTGTTGGATAATAATGAAGAGGAGGTACTGAATCATTGCGAAATATCAGAGATGGACACTTGGAAAAATTTTTTTCCCTCTGTGTATCCTAAAAAAAAGGAAGTTTTACATTTAGACGTGTCGATAATGCTATATGGAATGGGTTTGGAACAATACGCCAAAGAATTTCAAGGAATGGATATTAAGACCTTTTTGCAATTGACAGAGGACGATCTTTGCCAATTGGGAATAGATATTACTGTACACAGAAAAGATTTCCTAGATAGTCTGGAAAAATTTCATAGCAGAAGGTGGCGTATAGAGAGTTTTGGCAATATTAAGAAAAATCATTCGTATACGTATGTTTTAATATCGTTTCGCTAAGAATATGTGTAGTGAAATGTTTAGTATAATTATGAACGTGTACACGTGATTACAGAATTTACGACGGTATAGTATCATTGACGAATGCAAAGAAGCAGATTGGCGTGATAGCTTCCAGTTTCCAGTATCTCAGAAATAATTTGGTGAAAACTGCAAACGAAAAAATCTATATGCGCGCCGAGAAAAAAGAGGAGTACGAGGAAAAACTGAGAAAGACGCAAGAAACGTTGAAACGCCTGAAGAAAGAGATAGTACAAATTAAGAAACTAGCCCACGAGGTATCACATTATAAAGCATGAATTGTAATGTAATTTTGTCCTATTCTATATCAATTATATTTTTAAATTGTAGATCGACAAGGAAGATGATATGGTTGTACCGCCAACCTGGATTGGTCCCGAGAGTAAACACAATTTGATTATAGCAATCGATCGGACTGTAACAATAAGCATTACATTAATGGTAGGACTGTACTTGTGCAGAAATACGTATGTTCAAAGATTGTGGAATATGTGTAATATTAGGCTATTTTCATTGCTTCGTTTTACGTAACCTTGATATTTCTACGAATGAACTCGGATGTTACGTCGTTTCATAGCATAAATAAACTCATATAATATACATATATTACAACTTAAAATTTATAACTCTTATAGTTTATATACATTTTGGAAAAATATTTTTATATTCAAGAAATATACAATTTTTTATATAGCATATACGAATTAATGTACGTTTTATTGACTCGAGTGTTCTCTCAAATTCGCTAATTTCATCATATGTGGAAAGAGGGGATGGAACGACGGGAGATTTTGCTGACGGACTGTCAACTGGTAACGTTCCAGCGGCCCGCTGCATAACGCTAATCTGTCTCTCTCGTTCGGATGGCCGTCCATCCACTGAGACAATCGACCCACAGACCATCCGGCGCTCTGCGTGATAAATATAAAATTTATTAATTTCCCCAAAATCAAATCTATACTTCTCTTTTCGAATGAGTGTCTCATAAAACGGTTGTTAAGAAATCCACTTCACCTGGTGCGGCGACGCTAATTCGGGCGGCGCGCCGGAAAACAGATGCAGGAGGATGAGAGACGGTGATACGCCACTCTCTCCTTGACCTTCCAGAATCTTGTCCACCATCTCGTCGGGAGTGAGGGGAAGTAGAGTCTTCAGCGCTCGCAGAGTTCTGTACTGTTGCTGTTCGAGCAGGCCCATCTGACCGCCACGGCACAACGGCGTCACAGCTACTTCCATCTAAAAGTTTCAATCTCTTACACATGCATCTCGATACGCCCGTCTTTACGTGAGGAAACGACATACCTGAGCGAAATCCGCCAGAAGTTTTGCTTTCCCAAAATCAGTCAGCGGTCTCAGCAGGCAAGCATGACGCACAAATAGCTCTATGCATCTCGACGCGACAGCTTTGCAACTTAAAATTATATTGACATTTAATAATTTATTAACGACGAACGATGAAAGACGAAGAGAAGCAGAAACAGCTTACCACTCGGCTACAACCACTTGATTTTTGTACGGCAGTAAGAACGTATTCACGGATCGTAGAATGAAGCCTTGCAATTCGCGCATGTAAAGAGAACAGCCAATTTCCTTTCCCAGAGGGCTACTTGTGCTGTTCAAGATCAAAATATCAATAATATGCGATACGAGATAAGTAGATGGGAAGGAGGAAAATTAAGGAACATGAAAATTAAGAACTTACTCTCTAAATTCGGGATCGTCGTGCATCGTTAGAATAATACTTTCGATCGCGTCGCTAATGGACGTTAACAACGGCGCGAGCAGAGTCTTGGTCAACTCGTCCGTTTCCTTGAGCGCCGTGGTGATGACGACGCTCCCCTCGTTGGGCAAACCCCCTGCCAGATTCGCTATCACACGGTTTGTCTGGCTGGAAAGATAATGGAGAAGATTCGCGAGGGTGACATTCGTCTGCTGGCCGGTAGTAGGGGAATCGATCACTTGGCTTGCCTCGCCGCCGGTCACCACACTCTGCTCGCATTTCAGGCAGAATAGTCTTATTGCTTTTCCTACGTTGCGCGACACCACGGTCGAGAGTCCGTCGTCCACCAGTGACACGCTCAGTTCGCTAGAATGCGGAATGTATATACCTCTGTACCTATACTCCCTTCAATGGGTAAGACACATGATGTGGAAAGCATGCCGAACTTACTTGGTTATCATACGTATGAGACTGTCGATCTCGTCGTGCGTCGGCAAGCCTTCGCCGGAAAACATATTGTGAACTGGATCCAGCAGCCGAGACACCGAACGCGACAAATATGCGTTTTCGAACGGTAGTAGAACATTGCGGCTACATTAAAGACACATACATTAATTAATATAAAGCATTGTATTCATCACGTTTGTATAAGTATACTTACTCGATACCGTAAATCCCGATGCTGTGAGACCTCTCTTTTAAACGTTTACTCAAGTCCAAAAATATTCTTAAAAATTTTGGATATTCTCCTTCCAAGGCTTGTTTTACAAATGACGATCCTGCAAGATTGAAATTTCCTCAATTGAAACTTTCTTGGACTTAAATCCGGTATATATTTAATATATATTTATAATTTACCTTGAGCACGTTCGATCAAGACTTTCGCAAGAAGAGTATTTACTTTATCCCAAAATTTCTCGGACAAATCGTGAAATCCTTTCATATGATGCTCCAATAATACTCTTTGCAGCAATTCTATCTGGATATAAAATGTTATTAAAAAAAAAAAGATTGAATTAAAAAATGTATATTAAGAGTAAATTGCATATTGTCTCTATTTACTTGTAAGCATTGGGTATACAAAGTATCTTGGAAAAGACGTTCGAGATTTTCCCAAATTCTCGTGCGTAAATTTCCAGAGGATCCAGGCGACGGAATCGCGGCTCTGCCCGGCGCTCCACGTTTCCCAAAATCCTGATTCGTCACCAAAGATACGTCTAACGATTCCGTGGAAATTCTTTCTATTTCAGCCAGAGTAGATTCTATCGTCGTGTCCACGGCACCGTCTATTATTCCCAAGTTTTGAAACACCTGCACAGCCGTGCTTACCTGCCGGTGACACGTGTGTATTAGTGCAAATATTACAGTTATAATAAAATTAAATTTAAGCAACATCTACTTCGTTTGTAGATTCAGATTAAATATTTTATTAGTGCTTAAAAATAATTGTACAACACCTTCGTCCTGTCCATCGCTTGTAAACCCTGCGTTAATGTATGAGTGGCTATTCTTTGCACCGTGGCTCTCTGAGTTTTTATAGCCTGCTGATCGTCCGCGATTACATCCAGACCGTTAAGATCCGTGTCTGCCATTAATTGTTCTGCGCATATAAATTTCACAATGCAACATATTAATACGTAAGATTACGCGAGGGAACGAACAGAGGAAATTATATGTGTACCAAGCTCGTGCAGACTATTGGCAGCTTTAACAATATCCGGCCCCTGTGTGATGCTACTCATTTGAGAATTCAAACGTTTCGACAGGTGTTGCATCCTGGAGACTCTTCTCAAAAGATCGGAGGTTTCGTGAAGCCGCGCCAGTACGATCGTCTGCATTTCGATTCTGTTAAACGGATCGATAATCTTGCCGCGCAATCGCTCCACTGCCGACAAGAGGCTCTGAAAAAAAAAAAGGAGAATTGTTATTTGTTTTTGGTGCCTCCTCAGATTCAGATTGATGTTAATTTTTCCTCGCTCACTTGTATGTGAGACTGCATTATAAAGAGCACTCCTTCCAACTTTTCCACCCATGTCGCTTGAGACAGTAGATCTTCGTGATTCAGAAGTACTTGCCTCTGCAGCTCGGCATTCAGCACCTCGATAGCTACAAGCAACATTTACGATTTAAATGATCTTAACGACATAAAGCAATGTGAATCTCTACCTTGTCCCAACTTGTTTAATTGTTGAGCCACTGACAACAGCGGGCTGACGTCGGTCTTCTTGGAGTCGGTGTCCAACAGTTGTTTGAAGAACTCTGAAATTGATTGCATATTTTTCATTAGTGTCCTTCATACACAGATATAAATTCTTATTTACATACAGATATAAATTCTTATTCTTAAGACGAACTGCTCTTCAACTTACGATTGTTTTCGATATCTTCCCAACTTGATATTTCACTCATTTTTACAATTTACAGGAAACAAATAAAATGACACTTGTGAAGTAAATATTGGACAGCAAGGCTGATAAATTCTGTCAGAACAGAGAGGTGTGCGCATGCGTCGCCATGTGGCTGTTCCTAGGAAGTTTCGGGAAATTGTCACTTAGATTGCCTTAGAGTCCTAGATTATCAGAGAAGCGCGACCGGCTTATGGCAGTATCGCAAAAGTACTAAAAAATATTGAAAATGGCGTCGAATGGCCAATCATAAGATTGATTTATTCGGCAGCCATTTATAATAGCG